GATCCCTCATTTAATCAGAAAGCTGGGGTGTGGTCTGGGGGTGGCCCGCTGCAGGAATTACAAGCACCTGGTTCTGCACAGAACAGCAACCTGGTCCAGAGTGAGCAAGGTATCAACCCAGGGACTGCTTTATGCTAGACTTAAAATCTTCAGTCTTTCATTTAGTCACGATGAGTGATAAACTAGACTTGTCTGAAGTAGAGAGGTTTGACAAATCAAAACTGAAGAAAACTATACTGAAGGAAAAATACTCTCCCCTCAAAGAAACTATCCAACAACAAAAAAGAGTGTGTTCAAACATCATAAATGGAGATCTTCTCCCAAGAGCAAATTTCAACATTGCCAGAGAGTTTTGATTTTAGGCTTGGGTTTTTGTAAACCTGTGTGTTTGTAGAAATTTTAGGCACCATATGACTTATTACCTGTACTCCCTGGCTTAGAGGTTAACAGTAGTAAATGTTCCATTAAATTTATTTCTAAACTTCCCATGGATACATAAATAAATTAAAGATGACGGACTATCAGTAATCTCACCATTAATGATCTTTGTGTGTGTAGTCCTTTCATCCCCTACAAGGCAAGCCAATTTTAACTTAGAATAGGTGCCTCCCTTGCTTCTTTTTTAAAAGATTTTTTTTCAGTTGTCAGTGGACCTTTATTTATTTATTTATTTATGGTGCTGAGAATCAAACCCAGTTCCTCATGCATGTAAGGCAAGCACACTACCACTGAGCTACAAGCCCAGCCCCCTCCATTGCTTGTTTTTTTTTTGAGGGGGGGGTGCATACTGGTAATTGAACTCAAGGGTACTCGACAACAGAACCACATCCCCAGCCCTAGTTTGTATTTTTATGTAGAGACGGTCTCACTGAGTTGCTTAATACCTAGCTTTTGTTGAAGCTGGCTCTGAACTCGTGATCCTCCTGCCTCAGCCTCCTAAGCCGCTGAGATTATAGGCATGCACCACCATGCCTGGCCATTGCTTCTTAATATTCATGAAGTTTCATGTCTTTGTAGCTTCTCATGGTTTATTTTCATTTTAATGTATTAATAAAATAATGAATATCACTTTTTAAAATAAAGGTCAATAGGTATATGCAAAAGTACTCAACATCACTCATCAACGTCAACATCATTTATCAGGAAAATACAAATCAAAACTACAATGAAGCCAGGCATGGTGGTGCACATCTATAATCCCAGTGGCTCAAGAGGCTGAGGAAGGAGGATTGCAATTCAAAGCCAGCCTCAGCAACTTATTAAGACTCTAAGCAACCCAATGAGACCCTGTCTCTAAGTAAAAAATAAAAAATGACTGGGGATATGGCTCCATGATTAAGGTCCCTAGGTTCAATCCCCAATACCAAAAAAAAAATCCCAAGCCTACAATGAGCTATCACTTCACGATAGGGCTGTTTATAAAAAAGACAAGAGATAAGTGTAGTGAATATATATATATATATGAAAAGGGAACACTTGTACATGTTAGTGGGAATGTAATTTGGCACAGCCATTATGGAAAACAGTGTGGAGGTACCTCAATAAATTAAAAATAACACTACTATATGAACAACCAATCTTTCTTCTGGATATACATACAAAAAAATGATTCAGTCATTTGAAGAGATACTTGAATTTCCATGTTTTTTGTAGCACTCTTCACAATAGCCAAAACCTTAATTCAACTTAAGTGTCCATCAACAGATGAATGGATAAAATTGTGCGGTGTGCATATAAAATGCACACATAAAATGAAATAATATCATTCAGCCTTAAAAAAAAAAGATATTGCCATTTACAATAGCATGGATGAACCTCCACATTAATCCTGAACATTATGTTCCTCCAGTATATTATACTAAATTTAATATCCCACTCAGGGGCTGGGGTTGTGGCTCAGCTATAGAGCACTCGTCTAGCACGTGCAAGACACTGGGTTCGATTCTCAACACCACATGAAAAATAAATACTTGTCCAACTACAACTAAAAAATATTTTTAAAAATTAAATAAAATTTCCACTCAGTAATAGCAATAGTTTTATTTATTCTAAATGCTCAATTACAAAAACCCTGCTCCACCAAACAAGCTGGGTGACTTTTAAGCATAGTCAAGTTGAAAGGCCCACCAATGAAGGTCCAGGAAGCCTGCATGAGCCTTTCTAGAGTTTGATAACAAGGTGCTATGGAAAGAGGGCTCTGAGGATTTTGTTGCTTCTCTAGTTGAACTGATGGGTAACCTCAACTTATTTTCTTTGCCTCAGGATTTTAAGAGGATTGAGAGGTTGTGTGAAGAGTTAATTGTAAGCAATGGCTCCAAACTTTGGCTACATATTACCCTGTGATTACATGGGTATTTTTAAAAGTTGCCTTGGTGATACTCCAGACCAATATCAAAAGCCGTTTAGGGGCTGGGATTGTGGCTCAGCAGTAGAGCACTTGCCTAGCATGTGTGAGTTATTGGGTTACATCCTTAGCACCACATAAAAATAAATAAATAAAGTTTAAACAAATAAAGCCCTCAAGCCAGGCCTGGTGGTACTTACCTGTATTCCCAGCTACCTGGGAGACTGAAGCAGGAGGCTTGCTTAAGCCTAGGAGTTCAGTAGTAGAGTATTTGCTGAGCATGCACAAGGCCTTGGCTTCAATCCTCAGCACTGCAAAAATAAATAAATACTCTATGACATCATCTTTATTCAGATATAAGTATATGTCAGTTGCAAGTCATTTTCCAAAACTACTTTCCTTCTATTTTGAAGATTCTGTTACTATTCTCTTTATAATTAGACTATTCTCTTGAGCATTCTGAGTTAGGAAAAATAAGCATATTATATAGTAAATGCTTTTATGTCTAAAGTTGTGTTTCTTATGCTCTGACAGAAGAATGATATCTAGTCAGAGTGAGTTTCAAATTCTTGGATCTCAGTTCTCAATAATCTGTAGATGTTTTCTTCTAAATGACTTCTAGTGTTGCCATACAAAGTCTAGTGGCTCTATAATCCTCTTTTGCTGCAAATAACATGTTGTTTCTGCCTGAAAGTGTTTTAAGTTTTTATCATTTAAATTCAACACCAATCCAAATTTGGAGTTGGTTGTTTGGGTTCTTCTGGGAGTCAAAGATTGGGAGATTTCTATGGGGGAGGATCAATGAGTTAGGATCCAAAAGATAATCCAAGGCCTATATCTGCCATTCATCTGGGGGTAGTAAGTGACAAGTGGGAAGAATCCTAGAAGGGAACAATTGGAGACATATATGGTTAAGTGATTGGGACCTCTGTAGAAATTCTTGAGATTTAATAAGAATTAGAGATCTAAATATCTAAAGTCATTGATTCAGTCCATGAGTTTATTGATTAGGGCACTAAGGTGGTGAGTGATCGATTTCAAGCCTGGGATCATCAAGGTATTACAAGTCTTGGGAGTCATTTTGGGGTGGACCAATATGAGTCGTGGATTGGGGCCTGTGCACATTGGTTATTGAAGGACTGTGTAAGTTGGTATGTGATGGACAGGAAGATCTACTAAGGCTTTTATGAAGATCATTGATTATATATGTGGGCTGTGAATTATAGGGTCCTACTGGAGGCCAGGTTTGTCCCCAAGAAGCTCAATTGATTCTTAGAGCAAATCAATGTTAATTTTGTATTGAGGATGTATTGCCTATATTGGTGTTCACTTAAGGAGCCTGTGGACACCAGTTGATCACACGATTCATGACAGTTTTTGTCAGACAGTTTGGGCTGATGTTTTAGGAACCTGTGTAGACCTGCTTTTTTTCAGAACCCAGATGGGAATAGTGAGGTAGGAGTGTAAGTTTAAGCTTTCATCTTTGACAAAAGATAGTGGGCTATATAAGTTGCCCAAAATGTATACTGAATTATAATAGAATCTCAGTTTATGCATTCGTGACATGGTCACCTCTCAGCCAGAGCACTTTGAAGGCAACTGGAAACAGAAATAATGTTTATTGTGACTGTACCACATATAGACTACCACATGGCTCAATAGTTTAAAAACAGCACTTTGGAGTCAGATGCTGTGGCACACACCTGTAATCCCAGTGACTCTGGAGGCTAAAGCAGGAGGATCACAAGTTCAAGGCTAGCCTCAGCAACTTATTGAGATCCTTTCCTGAAATAAAATGTACTGAGGATCTAGCTCAGGGTAAAGTACCCCTGATTTCAATCCCCAAGACTACCAAAAGAAAAGGTACTTTGGAACCAGGCATACCTGGGTTTGACTCCCTCTCCTTCCCTTCAACCTGGGTGATTTGAGGGGAGGATTTCTTTATTTATATGAATAGCTCTATCAGATGGCAAATGGGAATGATAATAAAAGTAATGCCTATCTCTTAAGATGAGTGTGAAATTAGGTAGTTAATAAAACATGACTTGTACTTTATAATAATAGCAATATTTAACAATAATTGAATGTATTCCAGGGGCTAGGTAGCGAAGAGTGCTTCAAAGACATATTCCATTTAATTCTAACACCCTATAAGATAGGTATTTTCATCTTTTTTTAAGACAAGCAAACTCAGCTTAGAATGATTTCCTCAAATTTCAGCTAGAATGTAGAAAAGCTGGAACTCCAACACTCATTCTTTTTTTTTTTTTTTTTTGCAGGGGGTACCAGGGATTGAACTCAGGGGCACCAGAACACTGAGCCACATCCCCAGCCCTATTTTATTTAGAGACAGGGTCTCATTGAATTCCTTAGTGCTTTGCTTTTGCTGAAGCTGGCTTTGAACTCACAATCTTTCTACCTCAGACTCCCAAAATGCTGAGATTACAGGCATGTGCCACTCCACCGGGCACCCATTCATCTTACACCAAATTTTGTGAATCTTTCCCACATCCTATACTATCATTTGGTGGGTATTGGTTCTACTGAACTTTTCTCTTCTGAAAGATCCAGCATAGTGAGCTTCCCCTTGGTGCCTACAGGAAGCATTCATGAGTGACCAGGGAGTGGCTAACCATGTGCACACTTGTCTTTGCAGCTTTCTTGGAGCCTCTGCAGAGTCCCTGGACCAGAACGGTTAGTGGGGACTGCAGGATCTTCCTTCTAACCAGGCTCAACTGTGCCGCCAGACCTGGGTGAGCCCACAGATGCCAGCCCAGCTTCAAGCTCCTGGGAAGAGTCTAGTCATCAGGGCCCAGGCCCAGCATGAACATGCCAGCCAATGGAGATTCTGTCCAGTCGTCCGTGGCCCTGGCTGCAGAGAAACATGGCAGCTCACTTGAGGTGAGGAGGGAAAGGACACCATGGGTAGGAATTCATTCAGTGAGGAAATACCCCTGACCTTTCCCCAGGGCCTCAGGGTCAGGGCAGGTGAGTCATAGGAAGTCACAGATTTAATACTTGCTGACCCATAGACAGATCTAGATCCTCCTGCTGAGAGTAAGCACCACATGTCTGAAGTCACTACATCCAGAGCCCTATGGGTTTCAGTGGAAAAGGCCATGTGGCTGATGGAGAAGGAGATATGGAAGGCCCACCCCATATCCTGGGGGAGAGGGTCAGGAAACTCTCGCAGGCTATCTGAGGCTGAGGTCTGGGTGGGAGCAGCCACCGGCCATGACCAAGGAAACATAACCCCCAACCCAGTACAGCCCTTTCCTCTATATTGGTTCTTTACAGGTACTCAGCTAATCCCCACCTGAGCCCTCAGTTCCCCTGGCTTCTGAGGAAGTGCTGACTTGTCTATCCTGATTTAGGTGAAGAAAAATCTTTTTTCTTGAAACTGAGACTAGCAGGGTAATAAGGCTACCACAGTCTCTAGAGACCTTCCAGTTCTTCCTTCTTCTTTCAGATATAAGTAAAATGGCTTGAGGAGGTTTAAGATTAATGCAGGCCTCTCAAGTTGGCAGTGACAGCACTGGCCTGTAGCCAGGTTCCCTGAATGTATACCCACCCCCCTCAGAGAACTGCAGCAGAGACCAAGTTTCCCATTTGGAGTCCCTTTAAGATTGTGTAAACAAGAGACCCTGCCCGTAATGCCCTCCTTTCACACCTACCTATAATGTCACTTAGGGAAAGGGATTGCTGCCACAGGGACTCAGGGTTATATGGTCATTGGGATAATATTAAACTTTAAAAAATTATTTTGGTTTATGTCATTTCATTTTTTTAATATTTTTATTTTTTAGTTGTAGGTGGACACAATATCTTTATTTCATTTTTACGTGGTGCTGAGGATCGAACCCAGCGCCCCATGTGTGCTAGGCGAGCGCTCTACCACTGAGCCATAATTCCAGCCCCTCATTTCATTATTTTATAATAAAATTGTAGAAAATACAAGTTAACAAATAGAATAGAAAATTACTTGTTATTTTTCAAAGTTAACCATCCAAAAGTTAACCCAAAGTTAACCATCATTAACACTGAACTATATATTTTCTTTGTGTTGTTTTTTCTTTTGCATGAGCATGTATGTATGTGTGTGAGTATATGTGTGGAACCATAAATATGTATGTGTACCATACACACACACACACACTCACACACACACACACACACATACACATATATACACACATACATAGTGCCAAGGTTTAAAAATGGAATCATACTATTTTAGTTATTTTCTTCTTTTGTGCTGGGGATTGAATCCAGGGCCTTGTGCATGCTAGGCAAGTATTCTACCACTGAGCTACACCCCCAGACCATGGCTACCTCCTTTTTAACTCAGCAGTTTAAAGTTTCTAGGCAGTAATTTTTTTTCATACATATGTGATGTCCATAATTTAACCAGTCTACCATTTTAAAAAATATTTTTAGTTGTAGATGGACATAATACCTTTATTTTATTTATTTATTTTTTATGTGGTGCTGAGGATTGAACCCAGTGCCTCACATGTATTAGGCAAGCCCTCCACCACTGAGCCACAACTCCAGCCTCTAGTCTGCTATTTTTTAATTTTAATTTTTTATGTTTATTTTTATTTATTTATTCTTATGTGGTACTGAGGATCAAACCCAAGGCCTCATGCATGCGAGGCAAGCGCTCTACCACTGAGCTACAACCCCAGCTCCTAATTTTAATTTTTAATAAATACTAATTGTATATATATATATTATATATATACATATATATATTATATATATATTATATATATATAATATATATATATACACACACACACACACACATTAAGGAATGATTAAGTCAAGCTGATTAACATCTGTCACCTCACATACTTGCCTTTGTTTTAATTTCTCAGCAATTTTGAAATATGGCAGTCCCTTCTTATTTTTTCCAGTGATGGGGATTGAACCCAGTGTTGTTTATCACTTAATTGTGTCCCCAGCCCTTTTAAAAATTTTATTTTGAGTCAGGGTCTCACTAAGTTTCTTGGCCTTGAATTTGCAATCCTCCTGCCTCAGCCTCCCAAGTTGCTAGGATTACAGGGCTATGCCACTATGCCTGCCTCGTCTTATTCTTGAGAGATTTGTTCCAAGACCCCCACTGGATGCATGAAGGTACTATCTGAGGTACTATTGAGTACCAAACACTATATATATGGTCATGCACCACGTAATGACATTTCATTCTACAATTGACCACAAACACAGTAGTGATCTCATAAGATTATATTGCCTAGTGGTGTCCTAGCCATCTTAGTTTTCTTAAGTACACTTGAATATTTGCACAGTGGCAAAATTGCCTAATGACATATTTGTCAGAATTTGTCCCCATCATTAAGCAACACATAACTGCACTGTTTTTTTCCATACATACCAATGATAAAATTTAACTTATAAATTAGAAACAATAAGAAACTAATAACAAAAAATAATGTAAAACAATAATTATAACAATATGCTTGTAATAAAAGTATGTAACTGGGCTCTCTTTCTCAAAATATGGAATTTTCCATTTAATTTTTTTTGGTACTGGGGATTGAACCCAGGGACTGTTAACCACTGAGTCATATCCCCAGCCCTTTTTATTTTTTTATTTTGAGACAGGGTCTCACCAAGTTTCTTAGGGCCTTGCTAAGTTGCTGATGCTGGTCTCAAACTTGCAATCTTCCTGCCTCAGCCTCCTGAGTCACTGGGATTATAGGCATGCATCCCCACATCTGGTCATTTAATGTTTGGGGACCATAGTTGACCGCAGGTAACTAAAACCATGACAAGCAAAATGGCGGATAATGGGGGACTACTATATGCATTGTGTTATTAACTGTAGTCACCATGCTATGCAGTAGATCTCAAAAATTTATTCCTTCTATCTAACAAAAACTTTGTATGCTTTAACTTTGTATGCTTTAACTTCCTCTTCACAATCAGTTCCACTAGTAATATGTATTTAGGGGAGTTTAGGTTTTCTAATGTGATTAAAACTGCTATGGTGAAATTTCTGCATTTGGATCTTTTTGCTGCAAGTCACTGAAATTATATTTTTGAGTAAAATATATAGAAGCATTAGTTGGTAAGTGTATGAATATTGATATTAGTTATACTTCCCTTTTTTCTAAGCTCTGCTCATTCATATAATCACTGACACACTGGCTGAAACTATGACAGTGTGGTCCTCCTGAGTCCTGCAGATGGCCTCTTGTCCAGCCAATCAGTATGGGTGTCTAGATGAATGGTTCTGGGATCTGCAAGGTACATTCTCCATTCATTTCCTTTCTTTCCCAACCACAGATCTCTGGTCCTACTTGAGAAGAGATGGAAAATGACCAGGTCTCTGGTGAATGCTACTTGTTCACTTATTCATTAGGTTCTTTTTTTTTTTTTTTCATTAGATGTCAGGGAGCAGGATATAGGTGGAAATGCCAAGGAACCAATAAAAATGTCCCCGGGGTTGGGGAGCAACCAGTTGGACCAAGAAACAGCTGAAACTGGAGGTTAAGGAGAGGAGCCAGGAAGAAAAAGAGGGATAGCCATTGGGAATAGGCAGGATAAGAAGGAAGAAGGAACAGCTGGAGGGAGCATGGAGCACTTCTGGAGATAGATTATAGACTATGGTTACAGACAACAAATGGAGGCATACTGGGACAACCAGACACAGTGAGACAGACTACAAAATAGTCTTTGAGACTGGAGAAGTAGTCATGGAGCAGGGAAGAACATGAGTTTTAAGAACAATCAAAAGCCTTTTCTCAAAAATAAAAAGAACTGGGATGTACTTAGTGGTAGTGCATCCCTGGCTTCAATCTCCAGTATGAAAAAAGAAATAAACAAAAATCAGAAAGGATCATGAAATAGGAGGAGGGACTAGGAAAAAGAGGAAGCAGATAGTAGCCCCTGAGGGGTGACAAACCAGATGAAAAGGAAAAGGCAAAAATGTTCAAACGTTCAAGAAGCTGAGTGTGAGCCTGAGGGTCCAACAACTTCCAGAGGAACCAGAGAACAGTTCCTAGGTTCAGAGAACAAGGGGGGCATAGGGAAAAGGAACAAAAAGGAACAGGGAACAAGAAATGGGAAATATGACCCTGAGAATGGTTAGTAGTCAGAGGATATAGGCAGAGATAGGAGACAATTGCAGAGGATCAAGGAAAGAACAGAATAGTGGGAAAGCCTGCAAGGCTGCAGAATGGCATTGGATAGCAGGGAACCTGTGACACAAGGATCAATTCTGTTGGGAAACAGCCAGAGAGAGCCACAAAAGTACTTGGCTCTGAGTGTCAGCCAGCACCCCCAGGAAATAACCAGAGGATCTAGTAGAGCAGGCATAGTAAATAATAAATGTTTATCTGGTGTAGGTAGCAGCCTGACCAACTTGGGAAGAGCTAAAGAAACCAGAGAAGAACTACAAGGAATAAGATAAATTACTAAAGTGGGATAAGAGCCAGAGATTCCATGCAGTAATCACTAGGGTTAAGGCACAGTGAAGAAGCCAGGGAAAGATTAGGGAGCAGCCAGAGTTCCCAGGAATAAGCTGACTAAGGGGACATGGGATTTTTGTGTTAAAACAGCAAAATTCCTGGGGAAACTGTGATGACCAAGAAACAACCAGAAGAACCAGCCAATAGAGGTAATGTGAATAATGAAGATGGTAGAAGTACAGAATCTAGTCATGGTAGAGAACATACAGCAGAATCAGTGTACTTTAGTGGTAAAGAGCCCAGGCTAAGGAACCAGCCAGACTGGCATTATTCAAAGAGTAGTCCTTGGGCCAAAACCATGAGCATATAAGCAAAGAACTGTCCAAGGGCACAGAAAATGATCTAGATATTAGAAAACAATCAAGGGAATCCAACAGCAACTAGTCTGTGAACCACTGGAAGGAA